AGAGGGGATAGTGCAGTATTGAGGTCTCCAACAATTAGTGTATGGCAGTCTATCTCCCCTTTTAGATCTAATAGTCTTTTCTTCACATATTTGGGTGTTCCTGTGTTAGGCACATATATATTTATAAGCGTTATATCTTCTTGATCTATTGGTCCTTTTACTACAGTATAGTGCCCTTTGTCTCTTCAAACAGCTTTTGTTTTAAAGCCTATTTTGTCATAAATCAGTATCTCAACTCCAGCTCTTTTTTTATTTCCATTTGCATGGAAAGTCTTTTTCCACCCCTTCACTTTCATGTTTTTATCCATGAGGTGGGTTTCTTTTTATTTTTGAGAGAGTTTTTTTTTTTTTTTTTTTTCCATAGGGTGCATGTGCTCACTCGACAGAGAGAGAGTTAGACAGAAAGTGAGAAATCACCCCCCTGGGGGGGATGGCCACATCGCAATCCCTTCTCCTCCATTCTTCTCTCGGGATCTTGAGCACGCACACCCACGTACCTGGTGTGAGCTTTAAGTCACCATGTCTGGGACGTGAACTGCAGTGCACTACATGAGATTCCAGCGACATAGCCATTACACTACTAACTGCTGGTTGAGGTGGGTTTCCTGTAGGCAACAGATAGAAGGTTTCTGTTTTTTTTTCCCATTCAGCAAGACTGTGTCTCTTGCTTGGAGAATTTAATCCATTCACATTCAATGTTATTATCGATGTTACCGGATCTGTCCTGACCTTTAAGATGGCCATTATCTTAGCTGCCTTTTATTCCTTTGTTTCTGTTAATTCTTTAGTTTTCATGGAACAGTACTTTCTTCAGGGTTTCTTGAAGAGCTGGTCTGGTGCTTGCAAAATCTTTCAGGTTTTTGTTTGTCTGAGAAGATTTTAATCTTTTTTTCCCATATAAAGGATAGTCTTGCAGGATATAATAATCTTGGTTGAAATTGTTTCTCTCCTAACACTTTCAATACATCTTCCCATTCTTTCCTTGCTTGTTCTGTTTCCATTGAGAGCTCCTATGTTGGCCTGATAGAATGATTTGTAAGTCACTTCTCGTTTCTCTCTTGCCAGTTTTAGTATCATGTCTTTATCTGTGGTCTTGGCCAGTCTGGCTAAGATGTGCCTTGGGGAAGATCTCCTGGGGTCGAGTCTATTTCGAGTCCTTTGTATTTCTTGGGTCTGGATGCTCGAGTGCCTCTCTAGACTTGTGAAATTTTCTTCCAGGATTTCATGGAATAGATTTTCCATGCCATTATGTTTCTTCATCTTCTGGGATGCTAATTATTCTGATGTTTGGGCACCTTATGGACTCTAGTATTTCTCATATATTACCGTTTTTGTTTTTTTTTTTTTTTTTTTTTTTTTTTTTTTTTTTTTTTTTTTTTTTTTTGTTTTTTTTTTTGAGGTTTTATCTTCAAAATCAGAGATTCAATCTTCATCATGGTCTAATTGACTTTTAATACTTTCAAGGAAATTTTTGATTTCCTCTCTTACAGACTTGATCCCTAATAGCTCCATCAGATTCTTTATTAGGGTGTCCTTTTCTTCTTTCATATCATGGAAGGACTTCCTAATCTCCTGAAGTTCGTTGTCTATTTTCTGTTCCAACTCAGAATTTGTTCACCATAAATGTTCTAAATTCTTTATCTGACACTTTGGTAATGTCCTCAGATTTTAGAAGAGATGGAGAGAAGTTAGTCTGTTCCTTTGATGGAGACATATTTCCTGGTTTATTCAGACCTGAGGCTCTTCTACTTCTAGCCATTGGAAGATGTAGTCAATTTTGAATACCTCTTAGGAGTTAGAGTGCTTCCCTTTAGCTGTGAATTAATGTATGTGGAAGTTTCTCTTATGTTGTGTTTAACAATGTGGTCTCAAGAGGTGTACTCAGAAGTTAGTCTGTTCCTTTGATGGAGACATATTTCCTGGTTTATTCAGACCTGAGGCTCTTCTACTTCTAGCCATTGGAAGATGTAGTCAATTTTGAATACCTCTTAGGAGTTAGAGTGCTTCCCTTTAGCTGTGAATTAATGTATGTGGAAGTTTCTCTTATGTTGTGTTTAACAATGTGGTCTCAAGAGGTGTACTCTATTCAGATGTCTGAGTAGTATCCCGGTATTCACAGGTGGTTCAGTACAGCGGCGGATCCCAGGGGACCTTATGAAACTAGGGAATTTCAGAACTGTGATTCTAGATTTGTCTAATGCCTCTGAGACGGGGGAGAATGGGGAAGAGAGAATGATGTTAGAGGAAAGAAAAAATATACAGGGGATTAATGGAAAAGTCGTGTGCCATGCATTAGTGTGGCACGTGATTTCGCCAGGGACTGAGATGGAACTGGGGTGCTACTGGAAGGCAAAGGCCTCTCTGTGGGACAAGTGAGAGGATGGAGACAGGGAGTTAACAAACCAAAAGGCAGAGCAGAAAAAAAGAATAAAAACCCTTCCTACCTCTCTAGGGAATGGGGGTCCTGGACTTGGGAGCTTGGAAGTGGGGTGGAAGCAGTGGTGCCACTGCCTCAGTTTCTTAGTGGCCAGGGACCAAGAGATGGAACTGGAGTCATTATAGTCCTTATTTCAAAGTCAAATACAGATGATAACTTATCAGGGGTACAGGAGAAAAGAAGTGTGCCCTGGGAAAGAGGATGGATACCCGGTTAGATTCCTTTTAGTGCTAAAATACCATCATCTAGAGATACAAGTAATCTTTGATCAAATCTTCCTATTTATTTATAGTTTTTTTTTTTTTTTCTTGAGTTGGGGGCGATACAGAGAGAGACAGGCAAGTACTCTCGACAAGTTCTGGTCACATCAGGATCTCCTTCCCTAAGACCTTCAGTCCGTCAGGATTTTCGGCAAGCACACCCTGCATGTTTCAGGTCAGATAGGGATGTGAACCCACGGATGGCCATGTGGCTTCCAGCATTGCAGATCAGTATGCTACTGTGCCACCAAAGCCAGGACTAGACATGTGTTTGAAGAAACACATAGTACCTTTATTCTACTGTACTTGCAAGGGAGGGTCATGCTCTTTCTTATTGTTTTTCAACTAAATATGGGTAGAGAGGTCTATTGTTGGCACAACAGTAATGCAAAACTGGACTCAAATGTGAAGATCCTGGGTTCAAGTCCCAGCGTTTCCCTGTACAAGTAGGATGTGTGCATCTGTGATATGGGGTGGTTGAGGCTGGGAGCGAATTGCAGAGTGAGAATTTTGTTGGGGTTGCCTGTCTCTCCATCTCTTTCTCTATTGCTATGGAAGAAATACACTTTATATATTAAAAAATGGAAAGAATCTGAACTTAAAAAATTTCCTCACCCCAACTGCCTTTCAGTTGCAGTTCTCAGCCTAATTCTTGCTGCTCAGCCTGGGGCACACAGATACTTCTCTTCCATTTCCATGCATGGGATGTGATTCCCATCATGGAGCCTGTAAGCAGGGGCCAGCCTGACTCTAGGAATCGTTTTAGAAGAGTAGCAGATCTCACAGTTGTCTATCACTATGATCACCCAGTGAGAAACAGAACCAGACAAAAATTGACTTATGAGGCAGTGTCAGCTTTTAAGAATTGGACGGACAAAGGCCTGAGGATCCTCACCAAAGGAGGCCTAAAAAGTCCTGCAGAGGCTGTGGCTTTTTTTCCTAATAATTTTTTATTTAATTTTATTTATTATTGCCATCATTTTCCAGTTTGACGAGAGAGAGAGAGAGAGAGAGAGAGAGAGAGAGAGAGAGAGAGAGAGAGAGAGAGAGAGAGAGAGCCACGATAGAGAAAGTGAGAAAGCAAGCCACCAGGTCCGGGACTTGACCATGGTCAGCCATGTGGGAGTCCAGCACCTCAACCACCATGCCATCTGCCGGCCCCGAGGCTGTAGCTCTTCTGAGTTATAGGTAGAACAGGTCAGTCTGGGGCAATGTTCTGGTGAGACTCCTTCATGAGGCTATAAGCTTAACCTTTTTATTGTTTCGTTTTAGAGAGATTTTTGCTATAAAGTGTGTGCGCTCATCAGAGAGACAGCGAGAAATAACCTCCTAGGGGGTATGGCCATGCCACAGTCCCTTCTGTTCCATCCTCCTTTCAGGACTTTGGGCATGCATGCACACACACACACACCTGGCATGAATTTTAAGTGAGTGAGTCCAGGACTCAAACTGCAATCGACTACATGGGAGTCCGGTGATGTAAACATTACACCATGCTGGTCCTAGCTTGACCTTTTTGAAACACTGATCTGATCATAGTACTTTATAGATTACAAAGTAGTCTGTGTTTTTAATTTACCTTTTTTATTTGATTGTTACAACAATCCAACTTAAAATTTCACTTCAACCATTCTCTCTACTCCCTTTGCCTATAGGATCAAATAGAAGATTCATACCAGGGTATTACAATCTTTCCATGATCTAACTCCTGCCCCATATTCAACTTCCCCCAGACTGAAGCTTTCTTCCATGTATTCTCAGCATGATGACTGGCATGGAAGAGGCACTAATTATCCCATCAGTGACTGAAACCCTGTACTGCAACCTGCTGTGCCTTCCCCTTCATTGTTCCTACCTGCTTTTCCTTTCCCGTTCCTCCTTATCCATCTTTTTTTCCAAGGCAGCCCAAGTGTATATCCTTTACAATGACTCCTATGTTTTACATTCAGTAGATATTGGTCACCTTTATGTCCTAGGAACTATACAAGGTGTTGGGGCTACAGTGATGACTGGTAGAACCTACTTGAATAGATGTTCTGCCATGATCACTACCTAGGTTTATAGTAGCACTTCTCACATAGGACTAATTATCTGGTCAATGGAAATGTCAGTTCCCCCACTAGACTACAGAGAAGCTCTATGAGCTTATTCACTTCTATACTTTGCACAGTGACTGTGCAATTAATATCTGCACTTAAGTAAAAATCAATGAGCTATTGGGACCAGCAGTTAGCATAATGGCTATGTCGCTGGACTCCCATGTAGTCGACCGCGGTTCACATCCCGGACCTGGTGGCTTAAAACTCACGCCGGGCGTGTGTGCATACGTGCCTAAGATCCCGAGAGGAGAATGGAGGAGAAGGGATCCCCCCTAGGGGGTGATTTCTCACTTCCTGTCTGTCTCTCTCTCTCTGTCTGGTGAGTGCACGCGCCCTATAGCAAAAAAACCTCTCAAAAAAAAAAATAAAAGAGCTATTTATTTTTTCTAAGTCATATATTTCACTTATCTGGTTAACTCTGACACTGTTTCTGACCTTCCTAGTATTTACATTCTTATACTGACATAACTAAAATGAAATAAGAAAGTACTTCTTAAAAATATTTGCAGTTTAAAAATACACTACCTGGGACCAGCAGATGGTGTAATGGTTATGTTGCTGGACTCCCATATAGTCGACTGCAGTTTGAGTCCTGATCCAGTCACTTAAACTCATACCAGGTGCATGTGCATACATGCCCAAAATCCTGAGAGGAGAATGGAGAAGATGGGTTGTGGCATGGCCATCCCTCCCAGGGAGTGACTTCTCATTTTCTTTCTCTTTCTGTCTCTCTGGTGAGCATGAGCTTCCTTTAGCAAAAATCTCTCTTAAAAAATAAATAAATAAATAAATAAAACAGAAACCTACCCACTTTGCAGGTTGTTCACCCTGCCAAAACTTATTTGTTCTGTCTTTCTTGATCTAATCACTTTTTTCATTTTTTTAAAGAGGCTTTTGCCTTAGGGCACATGTGCTCCTGGAAAGAAAGAGACAGTGAGAGGGCAAGTGAGAAATCACCCCCACTGGGGAATGGCAATGCCACAGACCCTTCTTTATTCTCCTCCCAGGATCTTGGGCACATATGCACATGCACCAGGCATGAGTTTCAAGCCACCAGGTCAGTGACTTGAACTGTGGTCAGTCATGTAAGAGTCCAGTGGCCATCACCCGGGGGGTGGGGGGTGATTTCTCGCTTTCTTGTCTCTCTGGCAAGCACACGTGCCCTATAGCAAAAAAACCGAGAGAGAGAGAGAGAGAGAGAGAGAGAGAGAGAGAGAGAGAGAGAAAAGCATATAAATAGGACTGTGTCACTTACGAGCAAGTTTAATGATCAGTTTAAAACAGCTGAGATGTTGGGGTTCTGATCTTTTTTTTTTTTTCTTTTTTTGGAGAGGTTTTTGCTATAGGGCACGTGTGCTCGCCAGACAGAGAGAGACAGAGAGACAGAAAGCGAGAAATCACCCCCCAGGGGCGATGGCCATGCTGCAATCCCTTCTCCTCCGTTTTCCTCTCGAGATCTTGGGCACCCACGCGCACCCAGCTGAGTTTTAAGCCCACCGGGTCCGGGATGCAAACCGCAGTCAACCACATGGGAGTCCAACGACATAGTCATTACGCTAACTGCTGGTCCCAGGTTCTGATCTCTTGAAAAGTGGCGAAGAGCTATCTTTTTTTGGAAGGGTATCTTTCTCCCTACAAACATACGTTGGTAAATAAGAGGGCACGTATTCTTGCCAGAGAGACCAAGAGGGAGATGGAGAAAGCACTTTCCTGTGGGGCATGGTCATACCACAATCCCTTCTCCTTCATCTCTCCATCTTGTTGGGATTTTGGGCAAGCACACACACACCTGGTATGCTTTTCAAGCCACTGGGACCAGATCTGAACCATGGGATTGGCCACATAGGATTGGGCTGCCTCAATCACCAGGCTATGGAGCCAGCTATAGTATCTTTAGAAGCATGTTTCACTTAGATCAGACACCTCAATTCTTTTATGTAAAGATTTTTCAATAGTCTCTTTCAGAAGACTAGAAGGTGTTTAAGAGAAAAAATGTGATGCTTTGAGACACTGACCCACATGGAAGATTACTTGTGTCCAGAGACCTAAGTATGCTGGGCACACACGTGCCCATAATCCAAGCCTGGCAGAGCCACAAGATCCTACTAAGGATTCTGCATTTCTCATTCAAGGGATACATAACTAATAGTCCCTTTCAGATTTCCTAGTGCATAAATGCAGGCTTAATCGTATTAACACAAACTGCCTAAATTCAGAGACTTCAAAGCAAAGGCATTTCAGAAGTTTTTTTTCCTGTCATGTATATATAGTTAAGCTGAGTTCTTCAAGTTGACCAGTAACTCTCCTCCACAGAGGTATTCAGGGACCCAGTTTCCTTCTCTTGCCTGGATCTGACACCTTCAGGTACAGTGCACCTTTCTGTGTGATTGGGGCAAAGTGAACTACCTTTTCTGGTTCCAACTGGTGGGAAGGGGATCAAAAAGGGGGCACCTACTGTCTTAATGGTTCTGATCCAAGAATGGTCCACATCTCTTCAACTTACACGCTTTGGTGAGGCATGGTCACCTGGCCACATGCAAGAGGAGGTGGAGAACTGTCCCCAGTTCAGTAGTCCTTCATCTCTCCATCTTGTTGGGATTTTGGGCAAGCACACACACACCTGGTATGCTTTTCAAGCCACTGGGACCAGATCTGAACCATGGGATTGGCCACATAGGATTGGGCTGCCTCAATCACCAGGCTATGGAGCCAGCTATAGTATCTTTAGAAGCATGTTTCACTTAGATCAGACACCTCAATTCTTTTATGTAAAGATTTTTCAATAGTCTCTTTCAGAAGACTAGAAGGTGTTTAAGAGAAAAAATGTGATGCTTTGAGACACTGACCCACATGGAAGATTACTTGTGTCCAGAGACCTAAGTATGCTGGGCACACACGTGCCCATAATCCAAGCCTGGCAGAGCCACAAGATCCTACTAAGGATTCTGCATTTCTCATTCAAGGGATACATAACTAATAGTCCCTTTCAGATTTCCTAGTGCATAAATGCAGGCTTAATCGTATTAACACAAACTGCCTAAATTCAGAGACTTCAAAGCAAAGGCATTTCAGAAGTTTTTTTTCCTGTCATGTATATATAGTTAAGCTGAGTTCTTCAAGTTGACCAGTAACTCTCCTCCACAGAGGTATTCAGGGACCCAGTTTCCTTCTCTTGCCTGGATCTGACACCTTCAGGTACAGTGCACCTTTCTGTGTGATTGGGGCAAAGTGAACTACCTTTTCTGGTTCCAACTGGTGGGAAGGGGATCAAAAAGGGGGCACCTACTGTCTTAATGGTTCTGATCCAAGAATGGTCCACATCTCTTCAACTTACACGCTTTGGTGAGGCATGGTCACCTGGCCACATGCAAGAGGAGGTGGAGAACTGTCCCCAGTTCAGTAGCGGTGTGCCCGGCTACGACTCTGTGTTATGGAATTTCTGGCTAGCAGTTACAGTGACATTTTATTTCTATTTTATAGAAGCACAGTAAAGCTGCTATACAATTATTTTAAGCATATCTAATAGGAAAAAATTAAATTTACATAAATATATTAAAGAACAAGATTTTTCTTAGAACTGAAATAAGCCTGAGAAATCAGTTGGTCACCAGACAACTTGTGACCCACAGATGTTATTTCACTTACTTGTTATGTTCACAGCTGACTGCACCAATTAGAACACTTCCTGACCGACAGAAAGTGATTAGTAAATCTTTGTTAAAAAAATATGTAAGTGAGGGATCAGCAGTTAGCATAACAGCTATGTTGCTGGACTCCCACATAGTCGAACGTGGTTTGCGTCCCGGACCTGGTGGCTTAAAACTCATGCGGGGTGTGTGTGCGTTGTGTGCCCAAGATCCCGAGAGGAGAGTGGAGAAGGGATTGTGGTGTGGCCATCCCCTCTGGGGGGTGATTTCTCACTTTCTGTCTCTCTGTCTGTCTGTCTGGCAAGCGCACACGCCCTACAGCAAAAACCTCTCAAAAAAAAATATGTAAGTGAAACTGAAGCTACAACAAAATGTAGTGATTTACCTACTGAGTTACCATGATGGTAACGTCTCTACTGTGTTACCATAAATGGCAGGATACATTTGAGGATCTAATTATAGCAAGTTTCTTTTGTTTTTAAAGTATAATTAATATAAAAGTCTAATGTTAGCCAAAGTTCACAAGGAAGTCTAGATAAGTTTATGAGCGACATTTGGTATTTAAACTTGTAATCCATTGGAAAACTAATAAGGGTCTGAGCTGTGTTGTCCCTTAGATTTTTTTTAAAATCAAAGCATTGTTTTGAAATTACATTCAAAACATATGTAAAATTTTGGGGGAAACGAAGAAATGAAGAGGTCCCAGATAATTTGGCCTCCAGCATACAAAACTCACGTGGAGAGGCGGAAGGGAGCAGAATAGACCTTCTGCAAGAGACAGCTCCATGGCTCCTGCGATCTAGCCATTTTGGGGAAAACGGAGAAATGAAGAGGTCCTACTGATAATTTGGCCTCCAGCATACAAAACTTGCGTGGTAGGAAGACTCCTTTCAGGCCTCCTCTCTCTGTATCTGTCTTTGTCTCTCTCTACCTCTGTCTCTGTCTCCTCTCTTTTTAAATTTTTGCTATTTAGAATTTTTTTAAGGTGAGGCATCTTTCTGGGGCTGTTGGCCCCTCCTAGCCCTTTATCTTGTTACTAATTCCCTCTCCCCCTCCCAACCCAGGAGAGGCAGAAGGGAACTGAACAGGCCTTCTGCAAGAGACAGCTCCATGGCTCCTGCGCTTGCGCGCCTCGCGGTTTTCTAATTTTTGGATTTTATTGAAATTTTTTGAATATTAATTTTTTTTAGTTTTATTTAAAAGTTTTTCTCTTCATTTTTTTTCCTTTCTTTCTTTTTATTTTTTTTGCTATTACTGCTATTGTTTCCTTCTCTCTGTTTCCTTTTCTACACACTCCTCAACCCTCAGATTGAACTTCCAAGTTTGGGAAGAAACCGACCATCCACCAGATGACTAGAAATCGCTGCAGGACCACAAGAAATATGGGGAAGCAGGAAAATACCTCTCCTCCAAGGGAAAAGGATAGATAACTCCTCTTCACCCACACACAGTTCAATGAAAATCAAGGAAATGTCCGATAAAGAATTCAGAACATTCATAATGGCAAAGCTTACAGAGATGGAAGAGAAGAGAGACAAGGAACTGCGGAAGAGGAAGGAGAAAGGAGTTGAAGAGTTCCAGGAGGTGAGGAAATTCATGCAAGATCTAAAAGAGGAATTTCACACTTTACAATAGTTCCAGATGGAACTATTAGAGATGAAGGCTATAATACAAGAAGTCAAAATTTCCCTTGAAAGTATTAAAAGCAGACTAGATCATACAGAAAATAGGATCTCTAATGTAGAAGAGATAATGGCTGGCCTAGAAAAATCCACCACAAAGACTGAGAAAATGGCCCAAAAATTTGAGAATAATATATGAGAAATAGTAGATACAATTAAATGTCCAAACATTCGGATAATAGGCATCCCAGAAGGTGAAGAAACTCATAAGGGCATTGATAATCTATTCCATGAAATCCTGCAAGAAAACTTTCCAAACCTGGAGAGGCACTCAAAGATTCAGTCCCAAGAAGTACAGATGACCCCAAATAGAATCAACCCTAGAAGATCTTCTCCAAGACACATTATAGCCAGATTGACCAAAACCACAAAGACAAGATACTAAGACTGGCAAGAGAAAAATGGCAAGTTACCTACAAAGGCCATCCCATCAGACTAACAGCAGACCTCTCATCGGAAACAATGCAAGCGAGAAAGGAATGGGAAAATATATTCAAAGTGTTAAGGGAAAAGCAATTTCAACTGAGAATTCTGTACCCAGCAAGATTATTGTTCATTTGGGAAGACACGAATGTTCCCAGATAAACAAAGCCTGAATTTACCAGCACCAGACCGGATCTCCAAGAAGTTCTTAAGGGAGTGTTATGTCAGTAAAATTAAATGCAGACACACAGAGATAAGAGTTCAGAAACTAAGAAAATGGGCAACTTAATTGTAGGGACAAAGTCTGGAGTTGAGTATTATATCCCAGAGTTCAATCTGGAAGATTGAACCTCAACAGAAACACAAGAAAGATTAAGTACATGAGACTGAGCTGATGAAACAGCATTCTTTACTTGACTAAAATATTGCTGCTTTTCTTCTAAGCTTTGTTGTCCGGTTTTAAGGATTTTTATCCTGTCTTGAGTTGTCAATAGATTCATGTACCTACTATTTGAACAGAATACTAACCTGTTTCTAGGATTTAAGTTTCAAGGAAATATCCTTACCAGTTCAAAACTGCTTGCCTTGAAACCATCAGCTGAACTTGCTATTGAAAGTAGTTAGATGAGATAGTGTAATAAGAGAGTGGAATAGGGCAGAGTGTTAGACATGGGGTAAAAAACATATATATATGAAAGTAGAAATGGAATATTATTGATAACATGCATTATTAAGCCACTATGCAGTATATTCTAGATGGGAAACCACATTTTGTATGTTGTGATGACGCTCAGGGAATGAATGTAAATTAATAAAAAAAAATTCAGAAGAAAAAAAAGCATTAAACATACTTAAAAAAATTCAGAAGAAAAAAAAGCATTAAAAATACCTATTTGATGACTGCAGTAAGCTATATAGCCCTAGGTAGGTGCTACTTTATAGTATGTTCATTCTATTCATTGAGGCTTATGCCTAAAATCAGACTTGTGTTCATGGATATGTATATATCAGCTGTGCTTGCTATTGAAAATATTTAGATTTATTAAGATATTTAGTGAAACAATAAAATGGGGGAGGCATAGAAAGCAACAATAGATACCAGACACAGTGTGGGAGGAGGGTGGGAGATGGCAGAGGGTGAGATAGGGAATCAAGGATGGGAAAAAAGGCAAAATATACAGAAAACAAGAAATGGAAAATGATTTGTTGACAATAACACATATGTTGATGTGCTTGATTGAGCCAATATACAGTGTATTCTCAATGGAAAAATCTCATTTTGTATGCTATAATGATTACAGTGAATGAATGTAAATAAACAAATAAAAAATATTAAAAAATATGTAAATACAAATACCTTAATTTGCTGACACATATTAAATGGTCTATGATCAAAGTCCTGCTTATTTTGTTCAAAGACAAAATTAAATATTTTGCTACCATTAAGTCTATAAGGGGGCCAGTAGATCGCACAGTGGTTAAGGTGCTTGACTTCCACATGGCTGATCGAAGTTCAGATCCTGGACCTGGCAACTTGCTTTCTTACTTGTCTCTCTCTGTCTCTCTCTGGTGGGCATGCACGCCCTGTGGCAAATTAAAAGTATATAAATTAATTTAATTAAGTAATTCTTAAAAAAAAAAAAAAAGACCAAAAAGGTAATTCAAGTTCAGACTGTACTATCACTTAGAAATTAGAAATCAATTCTTATTAGAGTAGGAAATCCACTCCACCAATACAGCAGTAAACATTATTAAAATAAATTCAGTGAATTTTTTAAAAAAGATTACAAAATTGAATTTATTGAGTTTCACACAAGATGCACTTATAAAATTAGTACTGAATGCCATTTTAACAGAAGAAATGAACATCATCCCAAACTCCCAAAAGCATTTGCTAGAAACTGAAAATCTTCAGAAAATGACAGCACAATAACAGAACAATTCACACAGAATTGAAAGATACACTGAACCATGTTCTTGCTCTGATCAGGGTTACGTTTGGCAAAGCTTTCCTCTAACTATTCCTATCCACTGAGAACATTATTCCTTTTGTTGATGAAAAGGGGATTAAAAAAAAATAACTCTACAATCGGGCACCACTGAAACAAACATTAAACGAGTTTTTATTTTTAACTTAAAATACTTCCTGGTTTCACAAAGGCATGTCTGTACAATTTCTTCAATGCCAATCTCCAGACTCCTTTAATTAATGCAACATATTAAAATTCACTTCTGTATTCCAAATGAAGAATCCAAAACATCAAAATTTGCATTGTATTTTGCCTTCTGCATATATATGCTTAAAAGTTCAACACAAGAGCTGAACTTCAAAATAACAGTTAACACTACCAGCTTCTGGAAAGTTCTGAAATCAGAAGTTATAAAATTTTTATAGAGATGCAGAGAGGATTCCCAAGATAAAATGAGGTGGAAAATAACTTGTTCTGTGATAGAGGCCACAAACTAGTAATTAAGTGGAAATGGAATCTTGATCGCAAACAAATCCAAAAGCACCCTTTGGTTGTTGTTCTCACCATCCATATACAAATGTCTCTCCACACCCAGGTAGCCATCAATGTGTCCCAAATGCCCCACTTACTTTTCCACACAGGTCCTCTGCCAAGATGGGCCTGCCCCATCCCAAGCACGTGTGCACCTGACAGTCACCTTCTCACACTTTTCTTTCCATAAAACACAGATCCACCCTAGAACAAGCATACCCACTGATCAGCACTAAAGCATTATATAAGCCTAGGTAAGATGGTATTGTCCAATCCACTTGGGATACTTACTTTAAAACTTTAAAAAAAAAAATCCACTTAAAGTTTTAAATTTTGTTCATTAATAATTTTTCAGCCTACTGAACAGCAAATCCTTTAGCTATAGTAATTTATGAAGTAACTAATTTTAAAATAAAACCTGTTAACTATACCTTAAAGTTAACACTGCTAATTTTTCAGTATAAAAAATGTCTTTTTGTCGGGAAACTTATCCACTGGATTAAACAATACACAGCTCACATTTGCTTTAAAGAATAAAGTGAAAATTATAAAACATTTTCTCAGTGATGTATAACCTTCATCAATTAATTTTTAAATAAACAAACTGGCTTAGTTCCCCTCCCCCCCTATAAAATGCTACTATTCATTATATCTTATTTAAGGTAGCCTTTTATTCTGATTAATTCAGATACAACTTCAAAGATTATTCTGGTGGTAAGAACATTTATCTTGACTTATGTTTAATAATTTTTTAATGCTTTGGCAGATGAAGTAAAGTTTGAAAACTGTCTGTGAAAACAGTATGAGACTAGAAAGGTAATATGATAAAAGCTTCACAGTTTTCCAGGTATATCCTTATACTGAAGAGGCCTTTAGGCAATATTGGACTTTTGGAAGCTCAGACTGACAAAGCAAAAGATTTTCACATTGCTTCCACCAGGTCCTGGAGGTGGCATGGCTGCCTGACCGAGCAGGAGGAAGTTTCCATAGTCCGTTAGGTTTCCCAGAGTCAAGGCCAGAGGTCGCTGCTGTTTCTGTGATCAGACCTTCAGCCAGACCACATTATTGGAAGAAAGATTTGCTTGCCAGTAATAATTTAAGTTTTAAAATAAATATTTAAGTGCCATTTTCAGCATCCATCCATTCTAGCAGTACACAGCATTTGCTGCCCCAGGACCTGAATCTTCAACACACAGAACCACAGAATTCAGTCAATGCGATTTCCACAAATTGTGAACCTGTCTATCTCTAACAAATCTTTCTTTGAGGATCTGTGCTTTAATTCAGAACTTTCCTGTATTATGTCCTTCTCATCACCATCTGGAGTTGTCAGAAACTGATCAGAATTGCTTGTCACAAGTAATGGTATGACATTTTCTTTCTGGTGAACGGGACGGCTGGTGACCGAAGCAGACAAGGTTTCTTCTGTGGACAGGCCTGTAAACATACAACCCACTGAGTTAGGAAAAAAAAAAAAAAAAAAAACTTCCCTTAATTTACAGTAAACATGAGTTTATCAATACAGCGAAACTGAATTGATAAAGTAATACATTATCCACACTTTCAGATAAAACAAATGATAACCAAACAGCATATAATATAAACAGCCATAATTTGCAATGAAACTCAGAGGCAACATCATTTTTGCTTGCTTATTCAAAATTTTACAGGAGGGAATATTATGTTGAATGCATCACACAAATGACATCAGCCAGTTTTGGAAAGATCAGAACTCCCATAATGCAACCTCTTCCGGTGTACAAATCTTCACACGACTGTTGTTGGATCTCAAAAATCAACATTAGCTCTTATACAATACATTGGGGAGTAGGTGAAGTAGACTCTAATTCATTCCTCCTCTTATCTGTAATCTGTATAGGTAGACTTAGTTTAGCTTCATCACCTCCAGGAAGTCCAAATCAGAGGTAAAAACAAACCAATGAATAAATTTCCCAATGTTTATTTTAGGTCACAGATCCCAGAGCCTGGACTCCAGACAGCTGGGCTGGGCCTAGATTCACCTATCTCTGAATCATACATTCAACCCTTATAAAAATAGCTTCCTTGAGGCAAAAACAACATGCTATAAAATGCCTGATGATTCCAAATTGCCCCACACTGCTGTCTTCTCTATCTTTTAGCATGTCATGAACCTGAGGTTGTATTGAGAGTGGACCCCCTTTTTCCACCCTGACTTCAACATTCTCCTGAATGTTCTCTAGCCTATGGTGTCCTGATAGTCTCCCATTCGGATAGTCCTCCAACATGCAAACACTCAGAGAGTCCTAAATGAACTCTCATCACATGACCCCTAATTAAATGGCTTTATATGGCAGTGTGTGTTTAAAGGTTTCACCCCCAACTATACTGGCTTCCTCCTTGGAAGCAATACTGACATTAATTAGGCATTTAATATGTATAAAATGAAACATACAAATTCACCACGAACTGTCTAGTTGAAATAAATGCAAGCATATTACTAATAGTATCTATCTCTTTTTTATAATAAAAAAATAATTACTTTCAAGCAATTATTCAAATTTTTATTTTCCTTTATCTTAGGGTCTTATAAAACATATACGATGATCATAGCTTATCCTTCAGACTACACTCTAGCCCAACTCATCTCATATCCTGCCTTTTTCTATAACAAATGCTACACTCTGGAAATAGTTGCTAGTTCTCTGGATGTTTTATTTTCACTCATGCTGGCCCTCTTCCTGAAGAGTCATTTCCACGGGATTTCACTTGGCCTTTTTCTTCTCATCCTTCAAGATTTAGTTCAGACACTGTACTTCCAGGAAGAGCCCCCCCCCCCTTTTTTTAAGAGGTTTTGCTCAAGGGCGCGTGCACTCGCCAGACAGACAGAGAGAGACAGAGAGACAGAAAGCGAGAAATCACCCCCCAGGGGAGATGGCCACACCACAGTCCCTTCTCCTCCATTCTCCTCTCGGGATCTTGGGCACGCACGCACATGCGCCCAGGGTGAGTTTAAGCCACTGGGTCCAGGACACGAACCGCGGTCGACTATGTGGGAGTCCAGCGACATAGCCATTACACTAACTGCTGGTCCCAGGAAGAGCCCCTCTTGAACTCTCCAAGTCATTTGCTCACCTGTCTGGTTATCCACTTGTGCTGTCTTCCCTGTCAGTGTGTAAGGCCCTGAAGGACATTATTCACCTTTATATCTCCAGCAGCTCCTATGTAGCCTAACACATAATTGTTCCATACATTTAAAAATTAGATGATGTAAACTGAAAGTTATGTGAACAAGTATCTCTGTGAACAGGGAACTGCCATCTACTAAGTTGTCAGGAAAGTCATGATGCATTTTTGCATAGACAAACATAGAAAAATATGTCATGACTTTCCAGGTGACTTAATAATTTAAATCAGCACCTTAGTTCTTCCTTCAAATCTTCTAGGCCAGACACCTGTAAACCACCCTGAAATCTTTCACTTTCTAATGCTGTACAACCTACTCATTAGCGAATCCTTTGATTAAAACTTCCATGTCCATCCAGAATCTGATCAGTTCTCCTCATCATACCTTTGCCCCTCTGCTCTGAGCCAACAGCTGCTTCCCTGGCCTCTGCCTATAGGCTCATCCTTCTTGAGTCTGTTTTCCACAAAGCTTGAGAATAAGCCTCTTAGAACATCACAAGCTTGTCCTGTCTCTTCTCTGCTGCAAGTCTGGCAGCACCCCACTTCAGACTCAGTGTCAAAGTCAAGGTCCTCACAATAGCCTGTGGGGTACTGGGTGATCCCTCAGACCCCTTCACTAGTCCCTTTCCCTGGAACTAGCCCATTCCAGTCATCTTACCATTGTTGCTCCTTGACATGCTTAGAACATGCCTGCTGTGGTGCCTATGCTGGGAGTACTGGGTCTCTGACTGTGTTCCCCTTGGAAGGCTGACTAGCATATACCCTAGGGCTCCACTTGGTGCCATCTCCACACAGGTGGGTAAGTGCCTCCAACTCTCCATCACTCTTCCCCTTCCCGATTTTACTTTCTCTATTGCTCCTACTGCTGGACAGTGCATATTTATGTCTCTTTTCCCTCTTCTTAACAAACTAGAAAAAGCTCCACTGAAACACAGACACTACCTTTTCCCTACTGCTGTATCCCCTGGACATGGCATGTAATAAGTACTAAATAGTCATCTACTGAGTAGTAAAGGAATACATGTAAAAACTCAGAACAGGGGCCAGCAAGATGGCATGGTGGTTAAGTTTCCCACAGGGTGGACTGTGATTCAAATCCTGGACCCGGTGGCATAAAAATCATGTTGAGTGCTTGTGTATGCATGCCTCAAATCCCAGGAGAATAATGGAGGAAAAGGGATTGTGGTCTGGCATACCCACTGTGGGGTGTTTTCTTACTTCTCTTCTTTGTCTCTATCCCAGAGCACATGCACCCTAAGGCAAAAACCTGGGGGGAAAAAAGTCACAGCATTGTGTTCCCTGTGTGAGAGACAAGATCTAAAACAGAATCATTAAAAAAAATCCCAAACAATGAAGTAAAGTGAAACCAGGTCTTGGGCTGAACTAAGATTTTTTTTTTATCAGGCAGAATTCAGACAATTAACTTTTTTGAAATCAATACAGGGAACCAAACATACCTTGAGAGGATTTACATTTGTTTTGTGATTTGCTGGATAGCTTGCCTGGAGTGCTGGTTGGGGGAGGATTGAACAGCTTTTCTTCCATTTTGGCTTCCTTCACATATTGGCATGATTTCCCCAATAGCACAATGCTATTCAGTATTTTCAGGGATATCAACCTAACACCGGAAACAAAATAGACAGCCACTGCTAGAATTAACCTAAACCACCATGAATGCTATCTACTTATGAGATGCTAATGAGCAGGTGGCAGGTGTGGTGAAGAATACAAGCCCTGGGGTCAGAGGATGGGGTGCAAGAGTTCCTTATGCAAAACCTGAGGTTCCTGAGGCTCTTTACCACAAGGGGAAACTTTGATAAGAATTATTATGAGAATTAATTCCTTAATTCTCATAATAAGAAATTACATTGGTCAGAAGTACTTCCTGGTACTAAATAATTTATTCTCTTGTTATAAAACAAATACACTTAGTACAGTCAGATGAACAAAAAGGAAAACAATGAGATAATGTGTAATTCCACTACCTGGTGATAACTGCGGTGACAATGGTATATATCATTGCTCCAGCATTTGCCCTGTGTGTACATCTATTCGTACTTTCTTGCTGTATAGAGTGGCATCTGTCTTACAAGTCAACAGAAGTGGAGTCAGGAGCCAAAGCACTGATGGTGGGGTCAAGCGCCTGAGCTGTCCTTACTCCACTGCTTAGACCAGGATAGACGTGGGCAGGATACTCCGTCAGCTGACCCAAAAAGGAAATGATCCAGCAGGGTACTTGGCACAAAGAAGTAATAAGCAATTTTGTTACTTTATTATTGTTGCTATTTATATCATGGGTATTTTTCCATATAAATTAATGCTTTTCAGTGACATTATTTCAAATGAGTTTTTAATATTTCACTATATGGGCTATCATATAACAAAATCCCAAATAGCCCTTATATCTGAATATTTAGATTATTTCCAATATTTTGCTTCTATTAATAAGTTTCAGATTAAGCTAGCAAGTGGCATAGTGGTTAAGGTACTGAATCCCACATGGCCAACTCTGCAGTTGGAGTCCCAGACACAGTAGCTTGAAAAACACACCCAGTGAGTTTGCATGCCCCAAATCCTGGCAATGGAAGAGCAGGGATGGTAGCATGACCATCCCTCTGGTAGAAGATTTCTCACTTTTCCTTTTTCTCTCTCTCCAACTAGCACATGTACCCTATGGCAAAAGAAATCTAAAACAAACAATGGTTCAAATTAAGAAAACTTATGTTAAATCTGTATTTCTTTAAGATGAACTCCTGGATCCGTATAAATTACATTAAGTAGAATTTCTGATAAGTATATAGCCATATATATATATTTATATTTTCTGTTTTTCTATGCAAAAATGCAACATGACTTTTCTGAGAACCATATATATACTTAAGATATCCGATATAAATCTGGCAAAAAAAATTCATTTTTATTCTGGGGGAGAGAGGTTTTTGCTATAGGGTGCATGTGCTCGCCAGAAAGACAGAGAGACACAGAGACAGAAAGCGAGAAATCACTCCCCGAGGGGTGATGGCCACACCGCAATCCCTTCTGCTCCATTCTCCTCTCGGGATCTTGGGCACACATGCGCCTGGCATGAGTTTAAGCCACCAGGTCTGGGACTCAAATCACAGTGACTACATGGGAGTCCACTGACATAGCCATTATGCCTACTGCTGGTCTCAAATCTGGCAAAAAAATTCTGGGAAAAAAACCAAACAAACTGACATTAGTATCTTCTCATATATCGTGGGTATTACATAAGTGACGTATGAACAAGGACCTCAATGCCAATTTCAGAGCAAGTAAAGAAATTAATTGCTGTGTTTATGCCTGAGATGAAATCTCAGCAATAACATGAACTTACAAGTCAGAGAAGAGGAGTGTGAGGAGAGCCCAAGGTCAAAGCAAGAAACAAACATGATTTCCCTCACAGAACTTAGCCTCTACACTGTGAGAGCTAAGTATGTAAACACTGAAGATAGCATACCTCACATGTAGATCCACTTCTGCAAACACCCTCTGAAAGCATAACCCTTCAAATTTATTCCCAGCCCTTAAACTCTTTGCTCATCTCCTTGCACTGCTTTCTCAACACAACCTAGGAGATGGCTAGTAGGCATTCCAAACTTACCAACTCCAAACCACAGTTCCGGATTCCAACCTAAATACTCACCCTGCCACCAACCAAAGTCTATTTCTCTCACAGGCTTCCTTGCCCACTACAGTAAATGGCAACTCCATTACCCTACAAACTGCATACTCAATTCTTCTAATTTCCTCATACCCTACAGCTCATCAATTCATTAGTAAGTCCTGTGCAGCACTACCTTCAAAATGTACACTCAGCTGACAAACTCTGAGTGTACGTTCTGTTAGCATTTCAATTCTGGCCTTAGTCACCTCTCCCTGGGATGATAGCTTCTTGACTCAATCTGACCATTGCTTCTCTTCTTGTCACATCTAGTCTACTTTCCACATGGCAGCCTAAGTGGCCCTTGCAAAAAACCTGTTGGTTCTTAATCACCCCCACCAGTGGTCTCCCTTCCATCAGGGCCCTTCATGTGGCCTGCTAGGCCCTTCATGGCCATCCTCTCATGTGCACCATAGGGACTGCTGTGCTACAGCTGTTGTGGTCCTACTGCTCTTCCCAACAGGTCATGTCCTTGGATCCCCTGTACTGTTCACTGAGCCTGCTGTTCTCCCATGTGTCTGCATGCTCCTTTCCCTTATTCTACTCTAGTCTCTTCTGAGTTACCAACTCACCAGACAGGCTACCCAGCCTACTCTTTCTGTGGTTCTCCATCACTTTATAGTAATAGGCCTCCTTTCTAATGCTTACTACCAACAGTCACCTTAGAGCTATTTGTTTTCTGTTATGTAGCACACCAAGGCCATCATGTGTCTGTATCTCCCTAGCTGATCCCTATACCATCCTAGGAACAGTGTCTGACACCTGACCACAGCTCCTTGAGGAGTGCTGAAGGAACTTTAAGGGCAGAGGCTGGCAAGTGTCCATCCACAGCCCTCCAGACTAAGACTGGAGGGAGAGAAACTGAAACGTAGTGTGATAGGGAAAAACCACAACAGTGTATGTCAGAAGGTCCAGTGAGATTCCTGGGTATGGTGAAGTTGAAGAATAAAGAAGGCTTCACAGACAAGGTGGTTTTGGGAAAGTTTTTTGAGAGAGGAGAAGGTAATGTGGATTTTACTCTGAGACAAGGATGACTAGGATAGATAAGGAGGCTAGAAAGGTCAGTGAGTATATTTGGCTAGACTATCCAGGTGAAGTGGAAGGGGAGTAAGAAAGAGGTAATACTGCCAGGAAGGGATACTAGAATTTTAACCAATTCAGATTAAAGCATATATTGGAGCTGATTGATAAACACAGCATAATGTTAAGAGCTTTGAGGGGAAGGGGTAACATTTGTACCAGAAATGGAGTCTTGTTCTTTTTTGTTGTTGTTTTTCTCTTTTTTTGGGGGAGAGGTTTTTGCTATAGGGTGTGTGCGCTTGCCAGACAGACAGAGAGAGACAGAGAGATAGAAAGCAGGAAATCACCCCCCAGGGAGGATGGCCATGCCACAATCCCTTCTCCTCCATTCTCCTCTTAGGATCTTGGGCACGCACGCACACATGCCCAGCGTGAGTTTAAGCCACCGGGTCTGGGACTCGAACCGTGGTCAACTACATGGGAGTCCAGCGACATAGCCATTACACTAACTGCTGGTCCCCGAGAGTCTTGTTCTTTAATGTTACCTTAATATGTTGGGTATGCAAAAATGCATCATGACTTTTCCAACAACCCAACAGTGAAGGATTTATGTGCTCATTCAAATGGAAAATAGGAAATGGTATGTAACATATTCAAAATTACATCTTGTTGTAGGTGACACTGAAATTAACCATGTAGCCTGCACCCAGCTCTGAAGGGCAAGTCTGGAGAAGGCACTTGCAGGTGCTGGAAGCACATTCGCAACTCATCATGCTCAAGAATAAACAGAAAGTGCAGACAATAAGAAGTGATTGCTCTCATCCTACTTTGACAGAAGCTTTCTGAGCATCTGCCACATGTCAGACAGGATGTGTGGCACCAGGTAAAATACTGTAAAAAACACACTCAGAACATGAGAGGGACACCATAGATGTCTCTGCAAAACCAAAGCTCTCCCTGGGGAAGATTCCTAGTGAACTTATGGCTGAAATTCATACAGGCTGATCCTGTCTCCCTTTCTTCCCTCTTGAGTTGTTCAGATATGATGCCTCTCACACCAGTACCCCTGAAGTCTATGTCCTGAAGCACCCTACATCAAGTGAGTGGAGGGACTGGCTTCGCAGCAGTCTTTCTTAGTACAATTTATACTTTATTTATTTATTTTTTCATAGAGGTTTTGCTACGGGGCGTGTGCACTCACCACAAAGACAGAGAGAGACAGAGACAGAAAGCGAGAAACCACCTCCCCCAGAGGGGATGGCCATGCTGCAATCCCTTCTCTTCCATACTCCTCTTGGGATCTTGGGCACGCACACATATGCACCCAGTGTGAGTTTAAGCCACCGGGTCTGGGACTTGAACCACAGTCGACTACATGTGAGTCCAGCGACATAGCCATTACGCCAAGTGCTGGTCCCTTAGTACAATTTATTGTAAAGGTATCATCAATTTGCTTCTTGAAAAAACTAACGATAGCAAACTTTCATGCTGTTATGTCTCTTGTTTCACTTACTACTGTTTGCCTTCCCAACCAGAATGTAACCTACATAAGACCAACAAACTCACAGATAAGGTTCAGGCAAGAGCAGGCAGGAATAACACGCTCTGTATCATCTTTAGGTTTGTATGACATGGAGATGGAGTGTGCTAAATATTATAGGTGGTAAATATAAATAGAAGGTTAAAAATCTTTTTAAACATAGAAAATTTCTGATTAAAATCGTAGACATTTTTTCATAAGAGAAAATGTGGGTGAAAGCTACGTCTTAAATGAAAAGGACTAACTAAGTATAAGACTTCACTAAAGATTAAAATAAAATCTAATATTTCTCATATGTTATTCTCATTTTTTGAGCTATTTTCTCAGTCTTCATGGTGGATTTTTCTAGTCTTCTGAGATTCTGTCTTCTACATCTGAGATTCGATCTTCTATATGATCTAGTATGCTTTTGTACTTTTGAGGGAGGTTTTGGCTTCCTGTATTAAAGCCTTCATCTCTAACAATTCCATTTGATTCTTTTTCCAACTCAAGAAAATCTTCTCCAAGACACATTATAGCCAGATTGACCAGAACCACAGACAAAGACAAGATAATAAGATTGGCAAGAGAGAAACGTCAAGATATCTACAACAGCTTTCCCATCAGGCTAACAGTGGACCTCTCATCATTAACAATGTGAGCAAGGAAAGAATAGGAAAATATATTCAAAGTGTTAAGTGAAAAACAATTTCAACCAAGAATACTATTCCTGGGAAGAAAAGACAAGAACATTCTCTAATAAACAAAATCTGAAAGAATTTACCAACACTAGACCAGCTCTTCAAGAAGTTCTGAAGGGAGTGCTATATCAGGAAAACTAAATACACACAGAAATAAGAATTCAGAAACAACCAAGAAAATGGCCAACTTAATAGTACGGACAAACCCGGAGTTGAATGTTATCTTCCAGAATTTAAATGAAAAGATCAGACCACAACAGAAGATAAAGTACATGAGACTGAACTGGTGAAACAGAATTTTATGACTTTTGACTAAAACATTACTGATTTTCTCTGCTTTGTTTTGTAGATTTAAGGATTTTTGTCTTCTCTCAAGCTGTCAATAGGTTCATATACCTACTGTATGAACAGAATCCTAACCTGTTTCCTGGCTTTAAGCCTTAAGCAAAATTCTCTTAACATCTTTTGATTTTGATTAATAAAGCTAAAATTACCTTTCTTGAAATTAAAAATATATTAAAAATACCTATTTAATAGCCACAGTAAGCTAGACAGCATCAGCTAGGTGCTACTTTATAGTATATTAATTCTACTCATATATTCATTCTACTCACATAGTTTCACGCCTAAAGTCAGAAATGTATTCATATATCAGCTGAACTTGTTACTGAAAGTAGTTAGATTAATTAAGATCTTTTGTGACTCAATAAAATGTGAGGGGGGAAGAAGGAATGGAAAGCAACTGTAGATACCACAGACAGTATGGGAGGAGGGTAGAGAATGGCAGAGGGTGAGAAATGGGGGGGTGGCAGAAAAAATATATTATTTTTATATATATGTGCATGTGTGTTATATACATATATGAAACAAGAAATGGAAAATTACTTGTTGATGATAACCTGTATGATTAAGCCACCATACAGTGATTTCTGGATGGGAAATCACATTTCATATGCTGTGCAGATGCTCAGTGAATGAATGTAAAATAAATTTAAAATAAAATAATAAAAAATTAATAAAAAATAAAATCTAAAGTTCTATTAGTAATACTACTACCAAATAGCGGTACAGTTAATTTAACCAAGTCACAAATATACTTGGAGGTACCAGCTATTAGTCAAGGGAGCCCCTGCCATAGAGTGAGACGGGTCTGATTGGGGTACTAATAATTTCCATTACATCATGCATTTATAGTTTACCATACAATTAAAACCATATTTGAGAATAGTTAATCTTACCCAAAATAGAAGAGTATGACACAGGCATAAGACAGGATTCCTTGCACTTTAATTGAGCTTGTTACAACTCTGATGAGCTAGCCAGAAATAAAGCAAAACAACAGAAACACAACATCAAAACATACAACCACAGAATTATTAGTTAATGTTTAAATAATAATTTTTTCCATGCTGATGTTAATGACCTTTGTCTACATTCAAAAAGACAGTTCTAGATTTGTCAATTGTAAAGCCTCCTGTGGTAGATTTGGGCTTATTTATCACAATCCAGGATGCCTATGGCTAATGCAACAATTCAACTGTTGCTAACTCTCTAGAGTCAGACACTAATTATGTTCATGAAGGAAACATTTATTTGTACCTAACAAGTACAGCTGATTAAAACAATCAACTGAATTTTACAATGAAAATGTGGAAGGTAGAAATTAATTCATCTTGCTAAATGTGTCCCTACCAGAGATTCTGGGTTGTCAGAAAAGCCATGATGCATTTGTTTCCATGTTCTTCTATGCAAAAATGCATCGTGACTTTTCTGACAACCCAAGAGAACTACTGATGGGTACTTTCCTTATTCCTGCTCTTTTTCTCTGTTCCCTTTTCTTTGAGTCTTTAAGAACCCAATAACTTAGAGGAAAGAGAACCTTAGAAGGTTTATATTATTTTTAAAAACTAAACATTTAAAAATTTATAAATAAATTAACAACTGGAAAATTTCTGTCACTTTTGAACAGTTATTTTTATTTATTTATTTATTTATTTATTTATTTATTTATGCTTAACTCACAGAAATACAGGAGTAATAGTATCATTTTTAGACACCTGCTGAATAAATTTGGAGGGATCAGTCAAGGGAAAATACACATTATGGATGTACCCATGTATCAAGGGGTTGGAAAAGCAGAGAAAAGAACTGGCCTTATGTGGTAAGGTCAAGTTACAGAGTTTCTTCTTTTTAGAGAGATTTTTGCTATAGGGCGCGTGCACTCATCAGAGAGACAGATAGTGAGAAATCACCCCCCAGCGGGATGGCCACTCCACAGTCGCCTTCTCCCCTGCTCTCCTCTTGGGATTTTGGGCACATGTGCACATGTGCCCAGCGTGAGCTTCAAGCCGCCACATCTAGGACTTGAACCACAGTTAGTCATGTGGGAGTCTAGTGACATAACCATTATGCCATCTGTTAGTCCCAAGTTACAGGGTTTCTTAAACATAATAGCACACAGTTGAAAAGATATTGTAAAAAGTGCTTTTAATAAAACAATTTGGAAGTAGGGTGAATGGGTTGTCATGTATTCAATAAAGTTTCACTATGAGTGAACCGACATGGAAACCCTCAACTAATCTACAATCCCTTAATAGGCAAATGCTGTTGTACAGACATTGGCAACAGAAGCTAACAGGATTCTATTATTTTGTTCATTAATATGAAAGGCAAACCAATAATCATGAGTTTAAAACTTAACTGACTTCGGGAACCAGCAGTTAGCGTAATGGCTATGTCGCTGGACTCCCACATAGTTGACCACGGTTCGTGTCCTGGACCCGGTGGCTTAAAAAAAACTCACGCCGGGCGCGTGTGCGTGCGTGCCCAAGATCCCGAGAGGAGAATGGAGGAGAAGGGACTGCGGCGTGACCATCCCCCCTGGGGGGTGATTTCTCGCTTTCTGTCTCTATGTCTCTCTCTGTCTGTCTGGCGAGCGCACATGCCCTACAGTAAAAATCTCTCTCTAAAAAAAAAAAAAAACTTAACTGACTTCATTTTTATTTATTTATTTATTTATTTTAGGTTTTTGCTACATGGCATGTGCACTGACCAGAGAGACAGAGACAGTGAAAGGAAAAGTGAGAAATCAGCTCCCAGAGGGGATGGCCCTTCTCCTTCCCTCTCCTCTTAGGATTTTGGGTATGCATGCACACATACCTGGCACAAGTTTCAAGCCCCCAGGTCCAGGACTTGAACTGCGGCCATGGGGGAGTCCAGTACCTTAACCATCACATGCCACCTGCTGGCCCCCTGATTTCATTTTTAATCTATTTTTTTATCAGATAACTTTCAAAATATATGCCCAAAGTCTAAATGCATGAAACTTAAATACTGGGTTGTTAGAAAAGTCATGATGCAATTTTGCATAGAAAATACATGATTTCTGGGACCAGCGGTTAGCGTAACAGCTATGTTACTGAACTCCCATGGGGACGACCGCAGTTCGAGTCCCGGACACAGGGGCTTAAACTGACGCTGGGCGCGTGTGTGTGCGTGCCCAAGATCCTGAGAGGTGAATGAAGGAGAAGGGATTGCAGCGTGGCCATCCCCCTGGGGGGATGATTTTCGCTTTCTATCTTTCTGGCGAGCGCCTGCGCCCTACAGCAAAAAATCTCTCTCTCAAAAAAAAGAAAAAAACAAAAAACATATGATTTCTCTTCCTTTTTTCAGATGTGAATTCATTTTACAACTCAAGGACAATGTTTAGAAAGAAATACTGTCATCCTGTGGCTTACATAATGTGGCTTACATAATTAACTTCCTTTTGGGGTCAGGAGACTAATATACAAAGTACTCATGCTGGGAAAATAATTTTGTATGCTATAAAGATGTACAGTGATTGGATCTAAAAAAAAGAAAGAGAGAGGCAAAAATAAAGAAGGAAAAAAGTCTTAAAAAATAAGAAGGAATTAACTTCATTACTGTGGCCTTGGGACAGTCCTGAAGGCTCTCAGATGTCTGTTGTAGCTATACCACCATTTTGAAGTTCTGTGAGAAAAGTACTGCAAAAGATATGCAGATTTTTTAATAACTATATAATCCCCTTTCAGAAGGCAGAAGTGCAGGTTTTCCAGAAGTGTTCTGCTAATCAATTATTAAGTGTAAATCTTTTGATATAATAACCATAAAAACTAAAGAACTGAAAATTTAAATGACTGAATTAAAAAACATTAACTATCTGTAAGTTTTCTGGCAAGTAAGTTACTTGATGAAGAAGTAATTTACTATTTGGCAAAGCAGGGCCATATTTAAGTCCAACTATTTAACTAATCCTTGTTAAAAAAAATAATTTAGGGGGCTGGTAGGTGACATGGTGGCTAAGAATGCTGTCCTCCCATATAGCTGACTGTGGTTCAAGTCCTGGACCTGGCGGCTTGCTTCTCCCATTCTCTCCCTCCCTCTCTTTCTCTTACTCTGGCCCTCTCTGGTCAAATTCTAAAAAAAAGTAAATAAAAAAATAAAGTTACATAAAATAATTCTTTAAAAAAAAATTGGTCAGGTAATCTAGGTTTATACTCACACTATATATATCATGCTTCTAGTTGTAGAAAACAAACAAAATTTAAACTTTTTTTCTATTACTCTTTTTTTTTTTTTTTGAGAGGTTTTTGCTATAGGGCACGTGCGCTCACCAGACAGACAGAGAGAGCCAGAGAGACAGAAAGTGAGAAATCACCCCTCAGGGGGGATGGCCACGCCGCAATCCCTTCTCCTCCGTTCTCCTCTCAGGATCTTGGGCACGCATGCACATGCGCCTGGCTTGAGTTTAAGCTACCGGGTCCGGGACTCAAACCGTGGTCGATTACGTGGGAGTCCAGCGACATAGCCATTACGCTAACTGCTGGTCCCATCTAGTACTCTTATATCTTTAATGAATAATTTTATTATTTAAAATCCTCCATGTTCTAAAATTTTATGAGTTCCTTTTCCCAAGCAAAAGAAAGCTATATTACTATATAACAAATCATTAACTCTTTAGGATATACATGATATCTGGAATGTCAAACTGAAATTTAAATAATATTAAACCTATTAAGCATTAATCATCTAAATAAAAAAGGAAAGTTGGTCTAAACCACAGTTGATAGGATGAACAGACAATTTTTTTACACATGTCTTGGCTGATTAGAACTAGTCTGGGACCTGGTGGCTTGCTTTCTTGCTTTCTGTTTCTCTCTCTCTGTCTCTGTCTGGTCCAATTAAAAAATAATAACAACAAATAGAATTAAAAAAGTAAATAATTCTTTTAAAAATATATATGATAGTTTTTGAGTATAAAATAACAGTAGAAATTTTCACTAAAAATTTTGAAAAAAAATAAAAGTAGTAATTACAGTGAATATAAAATATGTCTTCATTTGGGCATACCATAATTTATTTACGCTATTTCGCTTGCAAATTTTTACTACCATAAATGCTATAACAATGCATAGCCTTGTCTATAAATCATTGTGTGTTCTTTATAACTGTTTCTTTAGAATGAGCTCCTAGAACTGGAACTACTAAATCAAAGCATATTGTCAAACAGCCCTCTAGAAACACTGGATTAACTTACCCTACTATCAGTATGTATTACAGTCATGCCTATCACCAGGAATTACTATTAAAAAAGAAAAATTTTTGCCAAATGAAGAATTAAAAAAGAATACTATCATTTTTAGAAAATCTGTTTACATAAAGCAGTTCCTTAATATTATGTATTTGATGGCTCAAAATCCAAAAGGATAATGTTATAATTTAAAATTTTCTTCCAAGTAATTTCTCATTGATTATCAGAGCAAGTCCTTTTAAAACAAAGTTACTGATAATCCATTTTTAATATTCTATGCTAATAGCTATCTTAATATAAAAACAAAAGAAAGTATAGACTTACTAAAACAGCTAGTGGGAGAGGAATAAACCCCATCCTCCTCGCTACGGAGTCACTGTAATCAGTATATGCCTGGCAGACAAGGGAGAAAAGAATTAGTTATAAGGGATTAAAACAGTATTTAAGAAGTACTATTCACTCATTACCAATAAAGGTTCTAAAGGGGTGAGACTATAAACAAGAAGAGAAACTGCACATATTATATAATTTAGTAAGATGACTTGGAAATCTAAATGTTCACAGTTTAAATACAAAGTTGGATATCTGTAATAATGCTGAAAAAAAAAAACCATATACAATATGAAGTAGTATTATTAACCTGCTGAGAGTATAGATAAGTAGAATGCTTATGCACCTTCCTTAACTCATATTCTATGCTAACCTAAAGCACTGTTCCCTTAGCTTCAGACTAGGCCTTTAACACAGTGCTCACATTTTTCTGTCGGCTGCTTACGAGGTCAAAAGCAAGGCTGGCTCTGTACTCACTGTAGACCTAAAACAGATGAGAATAAAGTATTAAGTAATATAATACAAACTGTGATGTAGAGAGAGTCAGACTTTGTAGGTAAAAATGCTTAATAATTAATCAGGAACAAATACTAATAACCAAGTGCACACCTACAGTTACAGTTTCTCTATTTGTTTTCACATAGTATAGGTGAAAGAGCCTTTAAAGCTTTCTCTTCAAAGAGATGATAATGATCCTAAATTTAGAATGTGGGGAACAGCTATTCTTTTAGTAGTGTAACATATTTCTGAAATTTCAAACTGAATGAAGAGTTAAAAAATTATTATTACTGTATAATATAGATATGGATGCTGGGAAGATATAAAACTGAGTTAGGAAACTGGTTATGAAGGCACTTTTAAATTGTCATTTCCACTAAAAATTTCAACAAGTATCTGAATCAAACCTGTTTAGTTTTGACTTCAGATCCTGAGAAAATGACCCCAAGAATTATTCTGCATTGAGAAAGCTGAAAGAGTAAAAGGTGAAGTTAGAGTAGTTTCTGTGTGTGTGTGTGTGTGAGAGAGTGAGCAGGTGGCAGGGGCGGATGGGATACATTTTAAATTCCAAGACTCATAGTGGATTGGATGCCTGCAACTGCAGACAGTACTGGATCCTATATAGACTATGTTTTTTCTTATACATAAACACTAGGATAAAGTTTAACTCATAAATTAAGTATGGTGAGAGCTTAATAAAAACTAATGATAAAATAGAACAACTGTAACAACAGATGTAATAAAAGTTATGTGAATTTGGTCACTCCCACAAAAGACCTTTACTGTACTGTAGTTCTATGGTAAATGAACTACAGAAAGTATTATGTAGTCCACACATAAGGGCAATACTAGTGTTTTACAAAAAAATGCAAAATCATATTTTCTTCAAGTATATTAAAGCAATCAGAAACTCAATCAAATAATCAAATTGTAGATGTGCAATTGCATTTGGCTTAAATCGTTATCTTTTGAAATAAAACAAGTATCAGAATAAGACTGTTTATGAAAAATACAACCAAATAAGCTCTAGGAAAGTACTGTAGTATTCATTTTGTAATTGAGGTCGGAATAAGAAACACACTAGGGAACATTTTAATTTTTTTTTTATTGGGTTGTTGGAAAAGTTATGATGGATTTTTACACCGAAAAATATAGCAGAAAAAAATAACATGACTTTTCTGATGACCCAATATATACAATGAGCCTATAGAATATTTGGTTATAACAGAAAATAAGTCTCTCATAATTTTATCAAATGCTTGCACTAGAAAAACATAAGGCTCTTGCTTTCTGTATTTTTAGAAACCTACACATAATCATAGAACAAAAAAGATTAATTTTAAATATTAATATTTATAAAACCAAGCCAGAGAGAAAGGTTTTTATAATCAAATTTTAAAAAAAGAAACAATGTGACTTTTTCAAATCTAAATGAATAGATTATGAAAAATATTAACAGCTTGTAATGATTTTGAATTTGTAACCTCAATTATTGGCCAATTTATACTTCCACTCAAAATTATAATTCTAGGATTGTTGCTATGCAATTGGACCCACCCAGGAGGCCCCCAGTGTGTACCCCAGGACCTTCCTTTGCAAGCCAGGTGTGTTTTCAAGCCCATGATCTGGGCTGGCTAAGTCAGCTTGGGGTGAAGTGTGGCATGAAGACCCTACTGGGTGGTGGCCCCACCCCCAGCTTTTTCTTTCATGGAAGAAATAAATAAAACTTAAAAAAAAAATCTTTTAATAAAGTATTTTTTTCTTCAGAGAGACAGATTTTTGCTATAGGTTGTATGCGCTTGCCAGAGAGACAGAGAGAGAGAGAGAGACAGAAAACAAGAAATCACCCCCTCGGGGGGGATGGCCACGCCACAATCCCTTCTCCTCCACTCTCCTTTCAGGATGTTGGACATACCTGCACATGTGTCTGGCCTGAGTTTCAAGTCTCCAGGTCTGGGACTAAAACCACAGTCAGACAAGTGGAAGTCCAGCAATATAACCATAATGCCACCTATAGCCCCTAAAGTGATAATTCTTAGAGACTTAAAATTACACTGTTAATGCTAAAGGGCTAATAACCTATTATGTTCCTAAATGCAAACTTCAATGTTGACTTGATTAATAAAGTACATACATCTGCAGTAATGTCATTGAACTTGGTGATAAAGGCATGTTTTACAATATCCACAGCAATTTCTGAAGCGATCACCATACAGACGTCTGGAAATAACACCCAGAGATGATCTATAAAGTATGGAAAAAGGAGAAACAATTAAATCTCATTTTAAAAAATGTTTAGATTAATTTTACATTATATATTAAGTTCCCATCATGATGTATACAATTTGTTTTTCAACAGAAAACTTTACATTTTTGTCTGTTAAAGGTTTCTTCCATTTGTACTTCACACTTACCCTCTACCAACCACTCTCAACCTTCATTGTATATAAATACAGTAAATAATACATAGTTCATAGCATATAAATCTCTTATTTATTTATTTTTTTTGGAGAGTTTTTTCTTTTTTTTTTTGCTAAAGGGCGCGTGTGCTCGCCAGCCAGACAGAGACAGAGAGACAGAAAGCACCCCCCAGGGGGGATGGCCATGCTGCAATCCCTTCTCCTCCATTCTCCTCCCGGGATATTGGGCACACATGCACACGCACTCGGTGTGAGTTTCAAGCTACCAGGTCCAGGACGCGAACCGCGGTCGACTACATGGGAGTCCAGCCATTACGCTAACTGCTGGTCCCAAAATCTCTGAATATGAACAGAATTGTTATCACAGGGTACCACAGAAATCTGCAATCTCTACAGAGCACAAATATTATCAATTGATTACAGAGATAGAATAAGCTATTCTATTAATTTCAACCTTTATCTAAGAGCTATACTTTCTCAAGGTAAAGGTTTTGTTGTTGTTGTTTAGGTTTTTACCATAGAGCTTTTGTGTTTGCCAGAGAGAGAGAGACAGAGACAGAGAGAGGCTAAGTGAGAAATCACCCCCTGGGGGGATGGCCACACCGCAATCCCTGCTCCTCCATTCTTCTTTCAGGATTTTGGCACACATGCACATGTGCCCAATAGGATGTTCAAGTCACCAGATTCAGGACTCAAATGGCAGTAGACTATGTGGGAATCTAGCACCTTGAACATCACGCCTCCTGCTGGCCCCATTAGAGGACATTTTTTTCTTTTTCTTATTTTTTGAGAGGTTTTTGCTATAGGGTGAGTGTGCTCACCAGAAAGACGGAGAGACAGAAAGTGAGAAATCACCCCTGGGGTGGATGGCCACACCACAATCCCTTCTCTTTCATTCTTCCCTCGGGATCTTGGGCGGGCACACATGCACGTGTACTCGCATGAGTTTAAAGCACCGGGTCTGGGACTTGAACCATGGTAGACTACATGGGAGTCCAGTGACATAGCCATTAAGCTAATTGCTGGTCCCAAAGGACATTTTTTTCAACAAATATTTATTCAATACTTTCTATGAGGAGACTCAAAAAGTTCATGGAAAAGTAGTTAGCATACATTTATTTTGGTATAAAAGTACTTTCAAAATCCATGTTTTTTCACAATGCACATTTTCCACGGGCCTTTTGAAGACAACACATATGTACTATGCACCACAATATGCATGGGTTACCTGGTGGGCAGGGATCCCACCTTTATGGAGCTTATACACTGGTTGGACAACTAGGTGAAGCAGGTTTGTCAGGAAATTCCTTTATTATATAGCTGTTTCCAAATGATTATAAATTAGTAATATACATGTTGAAGTCAACGGAGCAGTTTTTTCCCTCCTTGACCATTATGACTTAAAGATACTGATGAGTCATCTATTTCATTGTAACAGATATAACTTGTTAAATTTGCTCACCTCTACAATTAATTCAATACGAAGTACCTGATTAAAAAAAAATCTATAGACAAACTCCTAAGACTTTAAAGAAAGATACAAGCGTTGGACAGAGCAGGAAAAAGACGGAGAACAATGCTGACAAGGATCTGTGGTAACTCAAGACCTGGGTGGCTAGAAGGCAGGGTCATCCCTGCAGCTCTTTTGACTCTAGCCTTCATCCCATTGAGGTTTGAAAATGAGGGGTAACTTACCAAAGATAAACTGTGTCACTATTGTATAACCTTGTGCAAGTTTCTTAATTATTTAAATTCTAGTCTTCTCATACAAAATAAAGATAATAATACTGTGTACACTCCACTGTGAGTGAGAATTAAATAAGTTAATGGTGAACAGCAATGTGCCTGGCATACAAAAATGACTACTTTTATTTTTATATTTTTATTGATTCTAGGACCTTAGGACAAGCTGCCATAAATGGCATTTTGGTTAAGAAAAAGAAAATTTTCAAAAGTTAAAAAAAAGGTGAAAGAATGATGAATTCATATAAAGAAATCGCTCTTCTTCATCTATTATCTGCCAAAGTAGGATAAAGAAGGCTTATGATAATTTGTTTCAAGTACAGAGCAGACTCTGTAGCACAGCAGTAATGGTGTTATCCTAAAAAATCCAGACCCCATTGGCAACTGCAGTTTGAGTCCCCAGCCCAGTCACTCTGCTGAGACCATATGCAAATGTTCAAGATTCAATGGGCTAGAGGATTGGAAGGAGGAGATCCTAACAAGACCAGAGCCTGTGGAGGGTACTCCTTTCTATCTCTGCTTCTCTCACTCTCATTTATGCAATACATATACTTTACCAATCATAAATAAAGAAAACACAAATTTTAAAGTAACAGGACAAATGAGAATATGACTTCAACCATCTAGCTGTCAGGATGTTTAGGGATTATATGCCTTTTGACATAACAATTCCCCCTTTGGGACTACTAATCTGATGTGGACTCTGCTGGAACCAGGCACACATGTTCACTCTGGCTTTATACATGACCTGTCAGCTGCCTTAGTTATAAACAATGTTACTACCACTCAGCAAAAGGATCCAAATATACAAAGAATCTAGGCATTTGTGTGCAGGGAGATGCTTTCCTGCTACAAGTCAGATAGTCTTCGGATATATACGATTTGAACTAAAGTCACTCTAAGATATATCATTTGATCTTACTTTTTTTTTTTTTTTTTTGGAGAGGGTTTTTTTTTTTTTAAATTTCATTTTCTTTAATACATTCAATCACTTTGTTTAGCTTACAAAGTAAGTATTTCAGTATGTGAACATTTCTCCCTAGTCCAGTTGATAAAACTATAAAATATCTTCAACAGATAATATCACATTTCTTTGTCCCATTAAAGCTTTTGCTTTCGTATTTTTCTTCTGAATGTCCTTCCTTAGGCCCTACTCTTCCACACATACTATATCTGGCATTTACACCCATTTACTGTGTTTGTATATCATTCAGTCAATCAGTTTCAGTCATAGAGTGCGGATACTTGGTATATATTAAGTGGGGACAATGTCTCTCCTTCATAGCCTGGCTATTCACTCAGCAGTAAATCTTCCATATTCTTCCACTTTCTGTCAAAAGCCAGGTTTTTTAAAAATTTTTTTTTAATTTTAATTTTTTTATGGCTGAATAGTATTCCATAGACTATATGTGCCCCAGTTTTTCAATCCATTCATCTGTTCGGGGGCATTTGGGTTGGTTCCGTATCTTAGCAATTGTAAATAGTGCCGCAATAAACATCAATGTGCAGGTACTTTTCAGTTTAAGAATTCTTCTGTCCATTGGGTAGATACCAAGGAGTGGGGTTGCTGGATCATATGGTAGTTCTACTTGTAGATTTTTGAGGAATTTCCAAATTGTTTACCACAGTAGCTGGACTCAATTACATTCATACCAGCAGTGTAAGAGTTCTCCTTCACCACAACCCCACCAACACTTATCATTTTTTTTGTTTTAATCTTAGACATTCTGACTGGGGATAGGTGGTATCTCATTGTTGTTTTGATCTGCATTTCTCTTACAATGAGGGATGTTGAGCAATTTTTCATATCCCTTTTGGCTATTCATATGTCATCTTTAGAGAGAGGATTTTTCATTGCATTGTCCTATCTTTTAAATAGGGTTGATTATCTTTTTTCAGAACAGCTGCTTGAATTCCTTGTGAATTCTGGTTATAAGTCCAATATCTGACACATAGTTTACAAAAATATCTTCCTATTCTGAGGCTGTCTATTCACACTAATTACTGTGTCTTTTGCCATGCAGAAACTTCTTAGTCTGATGTAAACCCACTTGTCTATTTGGGGAATTATTGACTGTGCTTTGAGGGTCTGATTTAAGAAGCCTTTCCCTAAACCAT